TCAGTTTTTATTAGGTGAAGTTTATGAAATAAGGAATATTATGCTTTAAAAACAATCAGTGTTTTCAGAGTAAAGCAAAACAGGGTTTGTATTGTGAATACGAAATTTGACTCTGTAAGCTTAGTTATATATCATTTTCAGAGTTTTAATTTCTTCACCTGTAAGATTTAACAAGTCGCACAGTCCTTTTTTGGTTTATTAAAGTTTTATTAAATAAGACGTAACATCCCTGGTCAAGAGGTAGCAAATGATAAATGACCACTATTTTGAATAGTCTTATGCTATAGAATTACATTTCTAAAAGCTCTCAGGTTTAAATAAGACTGCTCATCTCTCAGCAGCTAATCTGTGAGGTTTCTGAAATCCAATTGTGCCATGCTACCTAATATAGCTTACTGAAACTGACAATTTCTTCACTGCTAGTTAACAGCTAGGCTCTAATTTTATGCCTTTTTAACAAAAAGTGATTATTATTTTGCCACAATTTGTATATCTTATTTTAAGTAGAACAAAAAAACAGTAGACAGGGCATTCTGTAAGAAATCTGAAGAGTCTTGCTAATACTTTAGAAAATTGAAATGCAAAAGACTAGTCAGGAAGATTTTCACAAATACCTGTAAGACTTAAACTTCCTTTCATTACCAAGTCCACTGACTTAGATTTAATTGCATTTCAGTGTACACTGCCAGGTATACATTTGGAATGTGCTTTTCCTTAATTAGTTCAAATATTTCGACCTTGAGAAAGGTAGAATGAGGCTTGCTTTCGTATTTGTTTTTGTTTTCTGTTTTTTATTCAATATTTGCACCTAGAGCCCCATATGAATGGCACATTTTTATTAAAATCAAGAATAAATAGAGCGAGGGGTTTAGCTCAGTGGTTCTGCTGCCTGCTTGGGAAGCACAAGGTCCCAAGTTCGAACCCCACTACCAAAAAAAAAGAATAAATGTTATGTGAATTATGCCTCAAACATCAGCTATAGAGTGTCTAATTATTTCAAGGAATATGTAACAGGATTCATTTTAGTTTTGTAACCAAAAAAATGTACAAAGACGAATAATGAATATGTTAATAGATTTTTGCTTCTCTCTGTTAATATTTAGAAATAATATATCCATCATCTTTGCGCCTCAACAACTGGGATAATGTATGGATTATGGTGAGTGTTCAATTAAATATCTGCAATAATATGGGACAAATACTGAAACAACTGATAACAAACTGGAGAAATTAATTCTTCATAGAAATAGTTTATTTGATAGACCCCTCAAAGTACTGAAATATTCACATACCTTTGTACGTATATGAATTATGTACATATTGATTCATAGCTCCATAAAATATTTCCTCAAAATTATTTCATGAATGCAGAAAGTATTGTAGTTTTAACAATCTACCACTTAGTTTGTTTTATTCTATGTCCATGTTTCTAAACTTCAAAACTTTTGATGTTTAGGGTGGAAAATTCTTTGTTGTAGAAGCGCTATAAATTATAGGATACGTAGCTTGATCACTGCCCTCCACCACTAGATGCCGCTAGCACTCAACCTATTATGGATTTGATGCATATCTCACCCAAATTCCAAGGTAGAGTCTAGGGAAGTATTGGGTCATGAGAATGGACCTGTTGATCATGAGCTTATTGCCCTCTGAGGAAGAGGCCGAGTGCTGGCTACCTAACTTCCCAACATGTGAGGGACAGGAGTTGATAGTATGCACCCCAATCACCATGACAGTCTGATCCCAGGTTCCCAGCTTCCATAATTATGAGAAATACATTTTTGTTGTTAATAAGTCACCCAGTCTAGGGTAATGTGTTACAGCACCCAAAGTAGCCAAAAGAGGAAATTGCTACCAGATATTAGTATGGGAAATTCATGCAACCTCATGAACAATATCCCCTTATAGCAATGAAAGAGGGCATTATCGACTTTCAGTCTTTCTCTTTGTTTAACCATATGAGGACCAAGCAAAGAGACAGCTGTTTGTAAAACAAGAAACAGGCCCTCAGGAGATGTTTAGAGCCAGCACCTGGAACATGGGCCTTCCCATCTCCAGAACAGTGAGAAATAATGGTGTCTGTTTCATACTACATTGTCCAAGTAATTTGTGGTAGCAGTCCGAGCTGAGACATTCTCAGAAATTCCTCTAAACATGAATCATTGTCCCTGGAGAAGGGCAAAAAGTTTGTCTTCACATTACAACCACAGCACGAAGTTGAAAAGCATTTTCACACTGCTGGGGCATAAAGAGCAATGGTAAAAGAAATATATTCTACTCTTCCATAGAGAAACCTAAAAAACAAAGGATGTAATGAAGGGGAGCTGTTAGGAAACAAAAAGTCAAACATGCTGGATATACTGAAGGGGGTCAAGGGAGAGAGATGAAAGGAGTGTAAAGGGATGGAAGAGGATCAAGATATGTTATATACACGTGCTAATTCCCCAAAACAAATCTATGATGTTTGTAAACATAAATCCATTCAAAATAACTTATCCTTGACTTAATTTTAACTCTTTTAGATTACATTTCATGAAATACAATGCATCATTTACTTCATTCTCTAGCTTCCTTATTATTTATTTTGGAATGCAAATCTCCCTATCATTGTTTCATTTTTAATTACTGAAGCTACTTTGCTTTCTTTTCTTTTGCCATTGGCATTTTTGCCAAAATAAATTTCAAATACTACACCTCACGATCTCTCTCTAGCTTCCTTCTAAGATCTCATCAGTTGCCTTTCCCCAAAGATAAGCCCAGCTCCTCACATGGACAATAGTCATTCCTTCCTCTAAACTTTATCTTTCTAATCTCTAACCTAGATTAAGAGAATGAGTTCAGTCTCCCTAAATCATTGCCTCAGAAAGTTTTAGGTAGGTGATCACCACCATCACACAATGTCCAGATATTTGGGCAAACATTATTCAGTATCATCCTGTAAATAATTTTTTAAATTAGATCAATATTTAAATAAGTGGATTTTGATTAAAATAGATTACTTCAAACTGTCGGTTTGCCTATCCAGTCATTTGAAGACTTTAATATACCAAAGTTTCATCTTCTCCAAGCTAAAAAGAACTTTGCACACAGATGGTCTTTGGACTTCAATAGTAATATTTTTGCTAGGTCTCCAGACTATTGGGTTACCTTGCAATGTCTGGACACACGCCTATACAGCTGTGTGAAGCAACGGCACACAATTGTTCTTCTCTTTCTCCTTTTATGCGTCTACTGGTCCTGCTTCTGTGGAGAATTTTGACTAATATACAATATTTATTTTCCTAAGATTATCTCTTCCCTGGATTTCAAGCTGAGGTGTGTGTGTGTGTGTGTGTGTGTATGTATGTGTGTGTGTATGTGTGTTATCATGTGAGTAATACTGATCCTCGTGATAGGTTGTATAATGTCATTTGACATATGATTGCACCTTCCATTTTTTAAATTAAAGACTGCATCATTGATATCAAAATGTGATTTTCAAAAGAATTTGCACAATTTTTATCAAATATATTTGCATTTCACTAATGTTGTGGAATATTTTAATTCCCCAAGACTTTGGCTGCTTTTGGCAAAGAATATCTCACCTGAGCATGACCTTTTTGGTACTGTGCTTTTAACATATTTAAACAAATTACACTTACAGTTAGGAGCCAAAAGGATCATTAAAATATGGCATGTTATAGAATGCTAAATTGTGATGTGTTTTCATCCGATTGGACAACGAACATATTGATTCGCTTTATGAGAGATTGCTTTTCTCAACTAGTCTTACATGTATTATTTTCCATCCTTGGCCTATCCTTCCTCTTTAAGCACTGCAAAGATTTTCCTCTCAGCGTGTCAGAACTTTTTTTTTTGTGCATTTGCAGATGTAGCTGATTTGGTGAATATACACATTTGTTCACAGGAAACTGTTTTCATTTTCTGCATCAGTGCTATTAACATTTAAAAAAAGGAAACACTCGTGTTAGGAAAAAAATTGAGGTCTTTCATAAATATTACAAAGATATCAAGAGAATTTTGAGTATATTAGCTTTTGTTGAAATTGATGAACCCTAAAGAATTTGAGAATAAAGATTTTACAGAAAGGGGACTGTTTTTAAGGATTCCAAACTTTGAGAGCATTAGGGTTTCAAAATATAGAAACATAAATACGAAGTTTACACCTATCTATAGAGCTCTTTTGATTCTAACATAAATGAGGTGAAAATGAAACCTTTTGTGATTATTCAATAAGACCTTAATTATGATTAAAGTGTGAGATATGAAAACCATAAGGTACTCTCTAGTAAACACTTGAACAAATGGCATTGTGGGAAGTCATGTAGTCCAACATAATTTAACTCCATCAACATATAGTTACATTATTATTCCTTCTTCAAATATTCAGAGTTTGAGAACCCCAGGGTTCAATAACTATCACTCAGCTGCTGGTGGAGACAACACAATATCCAAATGCATCTTACGGTCTTCAGAGTTCAAGTCATGAGTCATCACTCTAGCCAGCCATGGACAGCAACGTTATTGAGTGACCACATATGCAGGTCACTGCATTTAATGCTTTATGCACATCCTTTCATGTAGACCCGCATTAATTCCAAGAGACAGACATGTTTTCTTTTTTACTGATAAGGGTAGATAATTAGCTAAATAGAAACTGCTATGTAACTAGAGGAAACAGAAGTTAGAGCTTAACATTATCCACAGTTTTTGATATACCTGTTGCAAAATATTCACATTTAGCATCGATAAGAAAGCAGGTCCTTTAGTTTCTGATTACTTGGGAAACAACTGTCTCAGTCAATTATGCTCACACCTGTGAAACCAAATGGAAAAATGGTTCTGTATGGTGAGTAATATTTTCATGGGGATAGTTACATGTCTTCCTAATTCAATGAAAAGTCATCTGCTAAGTTAAAATGTTTAAGCATTATTTAATTCGCATTAATGTGAGAGTCAATCATATGTTTCTATGTCTGAAAGATTGAAACATGCCGTACCTTACTAAACTGTTAGCACTGTCGGGATCTTGTGCCAGAACTGTGCCAACAATGGTCCCAATCTTGGCATTTTCATACACTTCCATGACATAGGAAGGCATGGAAAAAAGTGGTGGTTCATCCACATCTCCAACAATGATCTTCAGCACGGTAGCATCTTTAAAAGGACCCAAGTGAGAAAATCGAAAATCAAGGTGTGTATTTGCTCCTTCTATGTTGAGGGTATATGTCTTCTTTTTCTCATAGTTCAATGGCTGTGGAATAAATAAAAATTTCCATATTATTACTTTCATGTTTCGGAAAGTAGAATTTCCATTGTCATTTATGAAAGTGTATCTGAGAGAAACTTCAGTCATTCATCTTTTTTTTTGTTAAGAGTGCATTTTTTGTTATTCCAAGAATTCAGAAGTGCAAATGAATACTAAGATTTTCTTTAAAATAATTGTTTATTTTATAAATGTGAGCATCCAGAAATTGGTAGCGACAAGATAGTGTGACTTCAAGTGAAAGTGAAATGTACATCTCTTTATTTTTAGTCAGTCCTTCTATCTTTATTTAAAACCAAATTAATATTTTTTTCCTGAATAGTAGTATCTATAGCAGAAATCATAAAAACTCAAGACTGAATCAAGAGTAATTTTACATAACTCTAAATATAATCATGACTAGATAGCAATATAATTCTTCATAGGAAAACAAATATGCTTTTTGGAGACTATTGTTGTTATTCCTCTCTGGTTACTTCTTATATTATCTCAATCTCCATTTGCATTTAAGCAAACTATCTCATACTATTAACTTTTAAAAGTCAATTTTAATTGATAGATAATAATTATGCATGCCTATAGGTAACAGTGTAATATTTTGGTGCAAGTGTACATTGTGTAATAAGAAACAAGATATTTAGGTTTTACATCATTTTAAACATTTTTAACATTTTTTATATGGACATCCAAAATAATCTGTTAATTTTTTGATGTGTACATGCAATATTGTTAACTATCATCCCTCTCCTGTGTAATAGTACATCAAAATTTATCCCTTCTATCTACTGGTGTTTTTGTGCACATTTGTTTGTGCTTGTTGACCAATCTTTCCTTATCTCTGCTGCCCTCCTCCAGCCATCCTATCCTCTACTGACCATCTGTATAGGTGTGAAGTAAGCTTCTTTTACATTTCATAAAAGAATACAATCATGCAGTCTTTGTCTTTATGTTTCGAGCTTATTACACTTAACATTGTTATCTCCAACTCCAGCCAAGCTGTTACAAATGCCACTGTTTTATTGTATTTTATTGTTGAGTAACATTTATTTATTGTTGAATAACATTGCATTATGTATATTCACACTATATTATCTATATTCATTTATCTGAAGATGGACTCATAGGTTAGTTGAATATCTTCCTGTTGTTGATAGTGCAGATATCTATTCATAGCTCTAATTTCATGATCTTTACATATATACCTCATGGTGAGATTGCAGCCACATGGTCTTTGACCAAGATGCCAAGATCACACATTTGGGCAAGAGCACTCCCTTTAATAAACATTGTTAGCGAAATCTGATGAATGAGTAGAAGAATGGATGAGACACCGATAAGCATCGTACACAGAATAAGGCCAATATATTTCAGATTTAAATGTCAAATTTGAAACTAGAAAATGACTAGAAGAAAACAAGACAAAACCTTCAGGAAAATGGTCTGGGCAAAGATTTTTTTTGTTAAATGACACCAAACACATGTAAGAAAAGTGAAAACTGATGAATGAGATAACATCAAAGTAAAAAACTTCTGCACAGACAAAACACAATCAGCAGAGTGAAGAGATAACATAGAAGGTGACAAAATATTTGCAAGCTATGCATCGGACAAGAAGTTAATATTCAGAATATAGAAGTAATACAAACAACTCAACAGCAGAATAAATCAATGAACAGTACAATTACAATCAGCAAAATAACTTATAGACATCTTTCAAAAAAAGATACAACAATAACCAACTACTTATATGACAGAAAGCTCTGCACCACTAGTTGTCAGGGAGATGCGAATCCAAACTAGAATGTGATAACCTTTTACTCTCTGTAAGTGCACATGGTAAAAATGACAGTAGATAACCATTGTGGGCCAGTCTGTGGAGAAAGGAGAGTTTTCTACACAGTTAGTGAAAATGGAATTTAGAACAGCTACTTAGAAAGCATGGCGGTCTCTCAAAAATCTCAAATGGTAAATACCATTAGATGCAACAATCTCAATACCAGTTGTATAACCATTGCCTTTTTAATATATGACTATCTGGTTTTTACCTTACTTGATTTAAACTTGTTATCCTATTTTAAAATATGACCAATTTATAGTTTTTAAAGCTAATATTTGTTGAGATTTTAGAAAAATGTTAATATAGAATTTTTCTAATTTTGGTATATTTATATGTTTTTAATTTTTTTCTATTTTCTAGTACTATTTCATTGCTTTTATTTCCCATCCCCTTTATTACATTTTGGTCTTAAATCAATTTTTTAATATAACTGTCTTTTTCTTTGCATAGTTATGGTATTTTAAATTTTTAATCCAATTAATAGGTTATTACAATTTGTTTAATGCTTTTTCATTGATTTTTAAGTGTCAACCTAATATTTACTCTCTTGAAATAGGTATCTTGCATTGAATTTGACTTAGTGATCAGTAATGAATAAGGCCACCCTGTGCTTTGTCCAAAAGGATGTATGACATACACTAGGATAAAAAATAGTAAACAGACATTTTACAATACTTTGTGTTATGTTTTATAAGCATATTGAGTGCTGTAGGTATTAATAAAGCTATAGAGACATAGGCGTATATGTGAGCAGCTAGTATCTCCAACATGAAATGCCTTTTCAGTAAGAATTCAATACTTACAAAGTACTAAACATGATGCATGTAATTATCACTGGGAACCAAAATTAACTGAGATTTACTTTGAACTAAGTAAAAAATTTCCATCATGAGGTTAGTACACACCTAACCTCCAAAAACCTGTCTTCTTTTGATGACCTATATATTGATGCTGATCTTCCTGACAGACATCTGTAAGAAAAAACAAAATAGACATTCTTCATCTCTGTTATTACCACTGACTTTGCACTATGCTGCTTCTATCTTGCAAGATCAGAGAACAACCTTTCCTCATGGAAGATCAGTCATTTCTTCTAGACACAACCAGAGAATAGTCATTTGTCATGGAAGACCTCTGATGATTTTCCCTAAGAGTAAATGCCCTGATTACTCTGGGCTAGGGCAGAAAACTATAGACTTGGTGGATTAAGGAACAAAATTTAATTTTTGTTGTTTGGAATGCTAGGAAGTCCAAGATCAATATACCGGTATATCCAGTGTCTGCCAGGTTGAAAATTGCATAGCATGGAAAGAAGTGATATTATTTCCAAACCAGATATTAAATTCTGCCATCTGAAAATCTAGTAGGGTCATGTGGACATGGTTAAAACTTGGTCGCTACAATATACTACCAGATTTTGTAGGAAATCTACAGTTTTAAAGAACCTTAAACACCGAAATATTCAAAAGTTGATCATATATCATGCACTTATCTGTATATGGTATAATCTTATTTAATCACCTCTCATCCTTTTGGCTAAAATCAAGTATAAATATTAGTTTAAATATTTGTTTTTAGTTTAAAGATATTTTGAAATGTGTTGAGTGTGGGTTTCATGACCTACCAATTAGGAGTTGTTTTCTTTTGACAGGATCTAAATTAAAAATGAATTGCCAGATAATTAATGTACATCTTATATAAATATTGATTGACATAAATGCTGGCCAGACCAACATATTCTGTTGCATTTTTTTCTGTCCTTACTCCTCTCTTCTTTCCATTCACAAGTGACCATTGGCCTGACTAATTTATTAATAAACCCTATTCAGAGTGAAATCGTCTGTCTAAAAATGACACGTTTGCTGCTTCAGGAATAGGATGAATGGTAGTGAGCACCTTTGGCTTTTAAGAGCTAGAATGGCAGAATCTGGGCATGTTGCACATGGAGAGCAAAAGCCCTGGCAGAATCATCATTTGTTTAAAATCAATGTGTATAACATTTTGGACCCAATCTGGGCACTATGAAAGGCTTCCTATTGAATAAGATTATTCCTGTGAAATACATAGGTGTTCAAAATGTGAAAACTAAAAATCAGAATGTATTTACTGGGCATGGGTTAGCACATTTTTATCACAATATTAGCATATTTTAAATCGTTTGTTTCTATTTATTCATTTTGTGGGTTTTACATCATTCTGACACTCAGTGAAATCTGTTCAGGAGATTTTGGCCACCTCTCATCCTATCTGATAGTACTAACAAGCTGTGTAGGCAAAATGACATATGTCTCTTTCCATTTTTTAGCAATTTTTTGGCAAATCTGTGTCATATGTTTAAACACTAACCTAGCTACTGTTAAGGTGCAGCCTGTTTATGTGGACACATACGTTCATGTTCACGGTCATATAATATATATTTGACTTCCCTCCGGCAGTGATAATGATTTTGAGAGATTTGTTTGCCAGGACTGGCAGATGGATGGATGGGGACCCATCTGGAGCCACAAAGGGATGAGAGAAACATTTCAGGTTGGGATAGGAAATTAGAAGCAGATGAATTAATGCAAATAGAACTATTTTAACAGCCTCATTTATAAGGAAAACCCAGTAAGGTTGAATTTCAAATATAGAAAAATACCGGGAGGAAATTATACACATTTATATATTTGTCTATATTAGAGTTATGTGTATATACTATAGAAAGTACATTATTCACTTTCACAACAACCACAGTAGTACATAAAAGTGGAGTTGCAATTGTAATTATTTTCCTAAAAGTGAAACTGTGGCAAAGCTGTAGAAAAATACTTATAATCTATATATTTTAAATTGGTCTTCCACAATTTTCTAGCAATCTTTTTAACTTTTGAGAAATTATTTAGAACTCCATCTGAAAGGTTTTATTTTGCTCAGTGACCAGCAGATTTTTTTTCCTAAAAAGGGTCTACTGTGACTAGTATATTTGGAACAAGAAAATGTGTTTATCTAATCTTTGATTGTAATAAGAAAATGATACCCAAATGGCTTTAAAAAGAAATGAAAATTTATCCAGGATGTTGTGGTATCATAGAAAGGAATAACATTAAATATCCAGGTGAAGGTTTATAAATTAATAAAAACATTTTCTACCTTAAGACGTAAAAATAAAAAT